AGCGATAACGAGGTAAGTTTAAACCTAGTTAAGGGGGGTTTTTTTTTTTTAAACTTCTTGCCTATATCTACTGCATGCTAGCAGTAGATATAGGCAAAAAAAACGGAGGGTTTAGAACCACTTTAAAACACAGCTGGCCGGGTTGGAGTTGCCCGACCTTAAAGTGACATTAAACCCTCAGATTTATTAACATAAAACAATACTGTAATGTGTGCCTTACTGTAATCCATGGTAGTTTCCCTTCTCTTTGCTGCTCTTCCTTTTAAATCTGTATCTGTTCTCATGCTGGGCAGAACTTCTGTTTTGCAGCAGACTGCCTTGTCTATGGATTGGATACATGGTGTCTGTGTATATGTTCACAACCTGAGCCAGCACTACAGGAAGAGGCACTCTGCTGCACTCTGCCCAGCATGAGAAGACATGAGGATTTAAAAGGAAGAGCAGCAAAGAGAAGGGAAACAACCATGGATTACAGTTAGGCGCACATTACAGTATTGGTTTATGTTGAAAAATCTGAGGGTTTAATGTCACTTTAATCTATGTTGAGTAACACTCAATCACTAAAATCTCATATGAGTTTTAACATGTTAATGTCATTTCAAAAGTTGCTATCAATCTTAATAAAGTCTGCAATAATATAATATTTGGGGATTCTGCTATGATGGTTATGGGATAGGCACTTCCTGTTATGGGGTGACAACAGTCAGCCCGTTGTGCTCTTGCGCTGCCATGCTGTCACATGCCGCCCTGGTTCAGTTAGGGTTTCCATCCACTTGTATGTCTTCATTCTGATTGGCTGGGGTTTTTTTTCCATAATGTCTTTATTCCTTTTTTTATATAAAACTGTAAACTTGTACAACCTTTGTCTCTTTTGTTCTCTGTAACGAAGTGTAGTAGAGTGGATGTAGCACTTTCGTTGCCCGTGTCTTCCTTTGCGTCACTGGCGTCAGCCGGCGAGCTCGGACTCCGTAGTGATCGGGAAACCCGAGACTCTTCCTATTCACAGGTAAAGCCGGGGCGCTAATTGATTTCTCTGCACAGATTCATTGGCGCCTCGTTTGTGCAGCTGCTTTGGAAAACAGAAATCGTCATTGTGAACACTGGACCCGGCACTTATAAAAGCCGCGGCCATGCGTTGTTGGTAAACTTGTTTCACAAGTGTTATGATGGTTGCAAGAACTTTGCTTGTAATCCTGACCTTGGTCCTCGGGATCGCGGCGGCTGCAGCCAATGTGACCTACAGCTGCTTCAAGGACACCATGAGCTACTTGTCGGACCTGAACGGCGATGTCCCCAAAGCCTATGCCATGATGAGTAAGTACATTCCTTTATTTATTATTTATTACAGGTATTTATATTGTGCTGACAATTTACACAGTGCTTTACACAGTGCACATTCACATCAGTCCCTGCCCTGGAGGAGCTTACACTCTAAGGCAGGGGTAGCAAACCTCTGGCCCTCCAGCTGAGGTCAAACTACAAATCCCATGATGCATCTCTCTTCGGGAGTCGTGTCTATGAGAATCTTGCAATGCCTTCGTGGGATTTGTAGTTCCACCGCAGCTAGAGGGCCGGAGGTTTGCCACCCCTGCTCTAAGGTCTCTATCTCGCATGCATACAGGGCGAATTTAGACAGGAGCCAATTAACCTTCCAGCATGTCTTTGGAGTGTGGGAGGAAACCGGAGTACCCGGAGGAAACCCACGCAAGCACAGGGAGAACATGCAAACTCCATGCAGATAGTGAGCTAAAGTGATATTAAAGTCAAATGCTGATGAAATCACATTAGTGCCTGCGCTCCAGTCCAGTGCGATCTGCAAAAATGCTGCAAGATTTCTGCAGATTGCACTGGACCGGAATGCAGGCAAGCGATCGCACTGTGGGCGGGGGGCATGTCTGCGGTGCCATTGACTTCAATGCAACCCCATGCCCCCTCCTGCCCCTGAACGCAGGGAGTCGGCCGGCTTGCATTCCAGTGCGTTCTAGAGGCGCCTGCGTCCTGTCCTACCGCGGTGCTTGTGTGGCCGAATGTGGCCGACGTTGCACACGGGGAGGGGTGTCCTGCCCCTTTCCATCTGCGGCATCTAACACATTCAGCCGGCAGCCACACGAGCACCGCAGTCCCTCCCCTGTCACGTCTCTCTGCAGGGACAGGATCGAGAAGTGAGCGAACGCCGGTATGTGTTCGCTCACCTCCCGATCTACTGAGCCGACCTGTGACAGTCTCATTGTCACAGGTCGGCTAGAACTATGAGGTGAGTGAAAAGCACTCACCTCATAGTTCTCCTTTAAAGCTTCTTGGGCGCCTTCCCCCCATGTGATTCTCCTGCAAATATATTTTATTTTTACCCCTCCGAAGCGCTAAATATTTAAACGCAACAAAGTTTCCATCTTACCGCTTTCTCGGCCAAGGTTGCGTAAAGCCCGAGGTCTTTAAAACACATTATTGTGGGGAAATACCAGGAAATAGAGCATCCCTGAAAGGCCAAGCCGTGCTCCGAGGCCTGCTGGGTGGTTTGAAAGCCGCCGCATATCGCGCATGTAGTTATAAATTATCTAGAGCTAAAGTGCATTTTAAAGATCTTCCTGAGCTGCGAGGGAAAGCCGCAGGTTACTTTGAAAGGAAAATGTGCCGAATGTGTCGCCCTTTTCTCTAGATTTGGCTCTTGGAGGAAAATTGGAGTCATTTAAAGGGGAAACACTTGTTTTGTTGGAAAGGGTGTGTACAGTCTTTTTGATTGTTTTAAGTAAACCAATAAAAGAGAGTAGAGTCAAAGCAGTGAAGCGCCGCAAAAAGACAATCCCTCCTCAATGGGAAATCCTTAAAAGCACACTGCAGGATGCTGCCCCCCAAAGAAGCCGGGAAAATAAAAGAGAGTAGCTTCAATTAACCACTTCCAGGGGAGTCACGTAAATGTACGTCCTCCGCTGGAAGTGGTTATGCCAAGAACACGGCTGCTGCAGCCACGTTCTTGCTACCGTTTTAAACAGCTAGCGATTGCTTTTTAAATACAAGCAATCCGGCAAGTATACAGGGGCCAGATCGCTTGTATGGTGCGGTGCCGTGTCCCTCTCCCTCCCCCCCTTCGCCAGCACCGGTTTCCCGGGCTCCACTGTCCCCCGTGGGAGCTTCCAGCCGCGGATCTCTCCTCCGATCACTGGACCTGGAAGTGATGTGCATTACATCACTTCCAGTGACACTGTGCACATTCTCCGGCTCCTAGAGCCAGAAGAAGAAGCTGGTGAAGCAGATCTCTGCTTCATCAACTTTTTTGGGGTCCCTAGGTGACATGAGGTGTCTCCATAAAGAGGACCTGTCCCATTATATTTTCTATTACATAGGGGACTCGTTATCCCCCTATGTGATAGCAATAAAACTGAGTCTAAAAAAAAATTTGTAAAAATGAAAGTAACAGATAAAAAAAATTTAAAAACGCAAAAAATATATTTTAAAGTCCCTTGCCCGCACGTGCACGCATATACAACGCAAACACGTGTCGGATGCGCCTACGTACAAAAAACAAAATTGCGTCACATATGTTACATATCGTCGCAAGTGTTGGAGTGAGAGCAATAATTCTAGGCCCATCAATCACTGAAATCTTGGCTATTGTAGTTTTTTGCGGTATAAATCTTCCAATGGCATGCCTACACACCTCAAGATGAAATGTAACAACTAAATCTCTAAAGACACCTGAAACTAACATTAACCATTTAGCTAGTGTTTGGAGGAGGAGAGTGAATATAAAAGGGAGATCAATTACTAGATGTACCATATTTTTCCGTCTATAAGACGCCCCCAACTTTTCTTACCCAAAATTCCGAAATCTATATTTTAAATGGTATAATATTGAGGACACAGAGTCCTCAGTGTCTTTTTCTGCACTCAGTACAGAGGTTTCCCATTCATTCACAAACTGCTGATAGTAAGATATTTACTATCAAGCAGATTCTCAATGGGGAGGAGCCTCTGTACTGAGTGCTTCTCCCCATTGAGAAATTCATGAATGAACAGGAAGTGATGTAAATCACACCCTGTTCATTCATAACTGGGGACAC